AAGAGTCGGTTCTAGAAATCACTCAAGACTTTTGAAGGAAGAATTGCGCTAACATGTGAGACGAGACTACCCTGGTACGGCACGTACCGCATCGATCTTTGTGCTTTTGCAGTGAAGAAGATTACTCTCATCCCATCTTTTATGATTTTTGGGTTCCTATCAATATAGCGATATGTTGGATTCTCATTTTTTTCAGTTCCACTTCCTTCACCAGTAAGATTTTTCATTTTTCAAAAGAAATAGGTGTTAAGAATGAATATTTCAAGCAAGTGTTCAGTGCAATAAGGGGCGTTGAAGTGGCTGAAGGGCATTTGACACTTTTCACTTTTCGAGTTCTTTTAGACCAGCTGCTTTCTTTTCTTCGGAACGGCCTCTGTACTTACATTAGTTATAGGGTAAAATGAAACTGCTGTCGTGATCTAGCCACTAAATTGCCATTGCATGCCGCTCTATGAGCAGGACTTGCCCTGAAATGAGTCTATCATCATCTTTCTGTTATCATTGTCGACTCTTCAATTATTAAACAAACTCCCTATTCAAGTGGTTTTGTTCAGTCAAAATATTTCAAACTGGTTACTTGATGGATTCACTTCGTATCCATCGGGGTGGTTGAACTTCTCCACGAGTTTCCACATCGCTGCGTCGCATGAGGCAATTCTTTTTCTCCTGTCCCGTGGCTTCGAAGTGCAGTTATCAGATTCGGCGCGCCTTCTCTCTAATCGATGGGCCTGTTTTTCGTTCCCTGCTTTGTTTTTTGCCTTCTTTTGAATTTTTCCCAATATTTTCTTAGTTTGTGTACAGCATATTCGTGTAGTAGAAGTTTTACAGAGAAAAAGATTTACAAAGACAAACTTATACCACTCAACCCAATCCATATCTGACTCGTACGCGCTCTAATCAACCATCGCTTTCTGCGATAAATGGCGGCTGCTGCGAGCACGACACTCGTTCGGGGTAAGAACCCGCACCCGTTTGTTGAGCATGTTACATTCGCACGTGGTTCAAAAAAAAATTTTAATCAGCGCTTTTGGTCATGTTAGCGCAATGGGCGGTAATGCTGAGTAATCAAGCAAGTCAGAAAACCGAGTTGGCAAACAAAGGTTCTCAAGTTCAACGTATTGGAAAGTCCGTATTCGCTCAAACAATAGCAACGACTGTTTGGGTTTGCATCACAATTTGATCATAAATCGAAAGATTTTTTGAGTTCTCGAGAGGATTTATCGCATCCCATCTTCATGTAAAACACGAGATACGAGGCGACAACTGCAAATGTTGGGTCCGGCTTGTACGGTATGAGACCGGTTTGTATGTTAATAGCAGGGTAGAATTGGAGTCATGCTCAGGAAAAAAAGCTCCATGCTTGCGAGTTCCTTTCAAAATTGCAGAGTTGTTAGATTACGTCCTGGACGCATACATGTCTACGGCGTAGGATAATGCTTTTAGGTGGTTGTTCTGATCTCGGAGGTTTGCAAAATTTTCCTCACGTTCTTTTGACAGCAAGGGCTGTCTCCAACCACAACACCACGTATTTATTGCTCTGTTCACGTGATTCTTTGCTACTTAGTAATTAAGTAATGGTAACAACATGCCACATTTTTGAAGAAAGACCAGGGTAGTCCCTATCACGTTCGTCACTTAAATTCTGTAACCAAATCGTTTATAGAAGAATCTTCGAGAAATTGTAATGATTGTTGGTCATAATAAGACCCGAAGTTCCAAGGCTTTGGCCGACTCAACATAAGAGTGCAATTAATAAAGCTGATTGCTTCACTGGATACCGTTAGCTTCAGCAGAGCTGTATGTCGGGTTGTACTTCAAGTGCGTTTCCACCACGTGCATTGTGAGCATATGTTTAACTTATGACGGACTCTTTCAGGTCCAACGTTGCACGAAAACGGTTGTAATGTGATAACCAGTGCACTTTTCAGAACTTATGTTCTCAGTTCTTGTCCATTAATTCATTTAGTGTTCATTTAGGTGGGCTAATTGCAGGGAAACGGCTTGAGCTACAGGGATTTCAGGTGGTGGTCGTCAAATTTATGATTGCTGTATTTTAAAGGTGTTCATTTGTAATGAAAAACGCTGGGCAGAGACGGCCCCCCGTGCTTATTCTTTACATCTTTACGGATTTGAGTTCGTTCCTACGGATCGTGCGAATTCATTTGAAATTACACTAATGCTTCCTTATCCTGAAGCTCCTCACATAGTATACTCGTTGCTTGGCTTTTCCTGCAAAAAATTGGTAATGATTTTCTTTAATTTAAGATTATTGTCTCGATTCAAACTTGAAGGGTTCTCCATTGGAAAACTTTCAAACCTCAACGAAGACAAGATGATTTTAAATTGGCCAATTCAGCTAGTAACGCGAATTCCGTAATTTTGCGTGCCCTACATCCAAGTTCGTTCAATGCTCGTACTAGACTCCGAGATTTTACTAACCCTCAACACTGAATAAGGGGGAGAGTGTATGAAACATTGTCTAGTCAACTTGAATGTGACATATGGGACATTATTATGGTTCCCTTGTTGTATCAAAGCTCAGCAGTAGTCACTCATTTGTTAAGTGTTCTCTGCTCTTCATTTCTTTTACTAACCTTTAGTTTAGTGGGTTATTGATTATATCAAGAAAGAGAGGAATTGTTCTAGAACGATTTCGAAATCGTATTTAACTTTCGATGACTTTTTCTTGATTCGCTACACAGCGCTATGTGTTCATCTGTTCGTTGCTGCATCGACAAACGTTACCCTTCGGCTCATCTCCCGTGCCTCTTGAATTATCCATGAAATCGATTCTTCCTACATTTCGCTTTTTTTAGCTTTTTCAATGTCGAAAATGTGTTCAAAATATTTTATCTTATATATGTTTCCGCGCGGATATTTGGTTGATATAAGTATTATGAGATGATATTGGAGATTGCAGGCGTATGACGGCCGGCGAAGACGTCGCATTGTCGGCGCCGTCGTTACGGGACCTGTCGGCTGGTGTCCTGTGCACCAAGACGCAGATACAGGTTTGTGAATTATGTGAATGGGGCCATGATTCCAATAAAAAGAAAGGTCGTTCTCTGAAATATCGGCTTCAGTGTTTCCATTTCTCATCAATTACCCAACTTTGTTAATGAACAGAACAGTTGTGGAGTCAGTGGTTATCCAAGGGAAGTGTTAGGGTTTCGAGACTTTTTGTAATTTAGGCCTTTAAGAAGCTATGCTGAGTGAAGATTTCCATCTATGAAATCCTTGGGAGGTTTCGTCAGGAAAAGACCCCAAAGCATCGTTGGGTTATAGTTCCAAGGTGAGGGATAGCAGCAAATGAGCGTTTGCTTGATCCAATGACTACGGTACTCTCCGAGCGTGCTTCGCATGTGGGACTGAGCACGTTTTTTGGAACCTGAAGTTTGGCCATAGGCTCCACTGGTGACTTCAGAGATAGTTCACTGGATGGGCGAGGTATTTTCTGGGGTGCCAATTAAAGCTAAGGAAAGGATCGAGATTACTGACACCTTTCAGTGATCCCGACGATCTCACTCACCTCTCTTTGCATAGCCTCCTTTAAAGGAACAGACTTCTTATTGATTTGCTTACAGGATGTAGTGCTGAAAATGCATTTACCTCTGCCTATCAGTCATTCTCTGTTCAACAAGAAAAAAGAGGAATGGCAGCGCTCGGTAAGTTCTATCATTCATTAAACCAAATGAAATGAAAATCAAGAGATGGTGATTTTTGATTTGCTGATTAGAAATTTGGATATGTTTGCATGACATTTAATAAGACATGTACTAGATTAAGGAAACAAAATGAGCCCATCCCCCGTTTGTAGTAGCACAATGAATATAGACAAGAGGAAAAATTTCGGACACGAATCTTTGATTCGATGCAGAATCGGAGCGAATATCTCTATGGGAATCTCTGCGAAATTGTTACGACGAAAAAACTGGTTCGCTAACTAGAACTCAAGGCAACCTCTCTTGGTCGTCGGGTAAACGGTATTGGTTTTTGCAAATGTTTCGAGTGGTTTTTTGGAACTTGGGAAGTAAAAGGGGTTGGGCCGAAATAAGGTTCCGTAATTCACAAATGGGTCCTTCCTGGCCAATTGCGGCCAATTGCGGACAAGTTGCTCCTCGAGGAACTCAATCCCATGCCAAGAAACGTGAACTAGCGGACGGACTTGTCGTTTTTGACTGGAGACGTATGCTAAGAATAGATGCCAGTTAATACCGAGAACTTATTGCAATAATCGTTACAAGCATTAAATAAGTTACCGACATCAATAGCATAGGTTTCATTTGACTTTTTTCCTGAGAGTTCCGGATTTTGTGCTTCAGAAAGAACCGGTAGCGGCCGAGGCGTTACGAGCATGGTGCGACTCATCACGGTTGCCACTTTCGCATCTTGATCTTACTGGAGCAGACTTAACGGACACGTTACTTGCTGATCTACTAGAAGCCCACCAGAATGGCATCACTCAGCTCGACCTTACTAATGTCAAGGTGGGTTTGTTGTTCAAATTCCTAAAGAATAAGTAAGTTTCAACAGTTTTTTCTATTGTCATAATAAAATGCAAACTGATATTGCAATGTTCAATAGGTTTTCTCTATCAATTGTAATGGGGTGTTTCGCAAACATCAGGGGTGTTCTTGTTGATGGGTCCGCGAAGCAGTGGGAATCCATGGGTTGATCAATTCGTCTGCTAAGATGGCATGAACCGTGAAGAATCTGTTTCCATCCTTTACGGTTTGGTCCGATAATCATTTGAAGGTATTGATGAGAAGTGAAGCTAGTGCTGGCCCAGGCTTTGGACTTTCAAGTGCGATGCTTTTTTATCTATGAACCTTGATATGAGAGTTTGGAAAAAGGTTCTGAAGAAGGAGGTTGTTGAAACTGTAGTCTACTTATATTAATACAACTTCAAATGCAGTTGGTGTATGCTGAAATCTTAGGTGCATAGCTCATCCCAGGAAGAAATCTTTGTTCAGGAGGTTTGCGGATTTGCAATTTTTCAGGGCATATCGGATGAGACGAACACGCTACTAGATCAACGAAATGTGACATTTCCAAATTTGCGATCGCTTAAAATGACCTCTATGGAGCTATTGAGTCGACCACCACCACGAAGGTACGTTTGTAATGATGGCAATGATGGTAGGGTTTAGTCATTGTTTATTGTGTTTACTACACTGTAAGGATGAGCCCAATAATCGTCACTTGTTTTTTCTCATTCTTTCATTTTTTTNTTTTTTTATTTGTTTGTCTCCGTGGAAACGATGCATGATCCTGGCTTTTCAGGAAAATTGGTGTGGCCAGCATGGATACTCGTAATATTCCGGTGCTGGGTGAAGAAGATTTGGAAGGAGCGGGTGGTCTGGATCAAATGCGAGAGAACAGAGGAGGCCCGTCGCACTTAATGCATTCAAATCAGCAGTCTATTTTCGAAGGGTATGCTTGCGATTTTTTTATAACGAACTTCTATTTTATGCTCTTACTCCTACTTTGAATCGAATATTCTATTTTCTATTCTTTGTTTGATTTCAGATGCTCTTCATCATTTAACGGAGGCATTGGCATTTCCCTGACAGAGCCTGTGGAGGAAAAGATCGTCATAGAGGAAGAACGGGAACCACCAGTTTTCACTTCGAGATGCCCTAATGTTACATCATTAGCCTTGCCGAAGGTATGGACGATATTTTGTTGAGAGTGGGTGCTTCCAAAGTTCAACGACATGCGATGTTTTAACCGACGACCGACCGATCCCGTTGCTGACCACGCGTTGACAACGCTGGACATCGATCGATGCCGCTCACGGGACTCTGAACGCAATCTATCCTGCGTTGTCAACGCGTGGCCATCAACGCGGCCGGTCGTCGCTTGAGACAGCACACGTCGTTGATATCTGGAAGCGCCCGCCGGTTATATTCCTACTGGAAAGTAATCGATTTTACATGCACAAGATCCTGTGTTGTAGGTACGGAGGTTCCCTGAGGATGAGGAAAATTCACCGAATGATCTTTTGCGTCGCGTTTTCGAACCGTTGAAAGATTTGAGGATTCTTGATTTGTCATATTGGACTAGGGTTAGTTTCAATTTATCAGTCACAACTTTTTACATAAATTATTTGTTTTCGATTTCAGATGGAAGACCTTCGTTGCGTACATCCTCTTCACCTAACTACATTAATATTATTTGATGTACCTGATTTGTATCGAACAATTGACAGCATCATCACACTCACGGAACTCAGGTACGTTTTTGCGATAGTCACGGACAGATAGAAATAACCGATAACATTCGCCACCGTTGTTCCTCAGAAACTTTTCTTAGTGGCTCCTTTATAAGTGCCTTTTTACAAATTTGTCCGTTTAGAAGCGGAGCTCAGTGTGAACAAATTATCTAGATCCGAGTATGTTGAGATGACCACATAGAGTGGTCGAAACGAATAAATACTTTAGATAATCGGAATTACATGTATGACATTCAGATTTCTCGATCTTTCTCAATCATCACGGGACACAGGTCTCTACCCGAGACCAGTGACCGCACTACATAAGCTGGTCACTAATCTGAAGCATCTGACGTGTTTGGATATCTCTTCGACAAATTTGGCGGCACAACCGAGCCCAAAAGACTGGCCTGTGAAGCCAGATATGCAGTAAGTCTTCGCTTGACTGTTTTGCAGTACGTACTATCGTAAGAAGGTTATAGGGGTAGTGAAAAAACTTGATAGCGGCTAATACACTTTATTTTCTATATGACATCATTTTTCAGTCAAGGCAATGTGCGCTCAGATATTGTTGGGCTACGTTTTCTCAGCAAACCGCTTGACTTTATTGGACTGTTCAACTGTGAAAACGCCAGCCATTTCGGTGAAATTCCAGCTAAACACATCTCTGGTGATGCTAATGAAGATCAAGTGAGCTAATTTTCACCGTGTGGTGCTGCGTTTTGCTATGTTTTGTTGATCTCTCTTTTTTTGGAAAGACTTTCTAATTTTGTTTTTGATTGCTTTACCTGAGAGTTACCGTTTTGATTGCTTCACCTGAGAGTTACCGTTAAGGTCATCATGGCTTTGCAAATGTACAAAGATCGGGCCGGCCTGCTACAGTCTGTTTTGAATGAGAGCTATCAGCTGTATCGTTTCGGGAACAGTAATCCTCTGGTAAGTAATACACAAGGGCTGGATGTTTAACAACTCCTCATGTTCCTTCCTATTTTTTGAATAATAATCTTAGGTTCGTCATACGGAAGCGCTTCATCTGGTGCTGAACGCCATGCAAAATCATCTTGAGGACAGCACATTGCAGATAGCCGGTTCAGCCAGTTTGTTCTACATAATCCGAAAGGTGGCGATGAATAGAGACACGAAGAAGCGTGTGGTCAGCGCCTTACTTAGTGGTACGTAGGTTTTTTATGAGTAACATCTTTCAAAGTAGCTGCTACCTTACCAAACTTTCGCATCTCGAAGCGCGGCGAAAAACAGCATTTAATAAAAAAGTATACGAGATCAAAGGGAAATGAGATCGGAGGACATGGGCTGTAATTTTTCTCAGTTTTAAAAGTCTTGAGGCCTGGTTAATGGATCGTGTGACCAACCAGTATACAATTCAGCTCTGTAATCTCTTTTAACTTACTTGGAAAGGTAACCAAATACAACAGGATGGAATTCTTGGTAGACTGTGCGAGTATCGATCCAGTGCCGTAGAACTATACGCATGGCACCTCTTGTTACCCACCCCGCCGCCCTTTGCTCCATCAAATCCATTAGTTTTGACCTAAATTATTGAAAAATGGATATAACCTTCCTTCTGTTGACTTCCTATTATAGATTGGCATTTGCCGATAAGACTGGTAGCATAGTTTATTCTCGGTAATTCCTTAGATGTCAAAATTTGCTACAGGGATGGAAACACACATGGAGGAACAAGTGATGGTTAGGAACTGCTGTCTATCGCTTTGTCAGTTCGAGATACCACAAGAAATTCTTTTCGATTACAGGTTTGTTAGTCATGTTTTTAAATAGGGTTATTTTCGATGTACAGGGTGTCCCAAAATTATTTGCGCCGATTTATAGCAATATAATTGAAACTTCTCAACTGCGAAAGACGATGGAATTTCTATGCACGCTAGCTAACACTATGTGCTACAACATGCTAAAGTCGCATTTCAAAATATCCCCCGTGAGCGCGAATAGAAGTCAAAGTTTGCTTTCGACTTGATCGCATGTGGCACGCAGGTATCCTTCTCCATTTCTTCCCAGCCGTCCTCCAGCTTTTACATTCTAGGATTTCAAACTGGGACTGCGAACTCGACAGTTCCTCTTCTAATCAGGGACCATTCGTGGGATTCAAGTGAGTCAAGTTCTGGAAAATAGGATGACCATTCCTCTCCACCAATGATGTCGGGCAGCTGTCGTCGGCACCACTCGCGGGCAAACTTGGCTCTGTGGGCTGGAGTAGCGTCCTGCTGGAAGGACTATGGGATGTTTCAGAAAACGTAGTCGGATCAGTGTTTCATTTACTTCCATCAATACGCCGTTTCAGTACTGGTCTTGGTCAATTTTCATGCCTGTACCGAAGAAACCACGAGCGGCTTACCCTTGCCAGTGATTTCCTCG